CTCCAATTCCTGGGCTCAAGCGAGTCTCCTGCCTCCGCCTCCCAAGTAGCTGGGACCACAGGCGCCCGCCACAACGCCCGGCCATTTTTTGGTTGCAGCCGACATTGTTGTTCGGTGGGTCCGGGCTGGGGATTCGAACCCGCCACCCTAGGTGTACGCGGCTGGCGCCCTAGCCGGTTGAGCTATAGGCGCCGAGCCTAAAAATAAATTTTTTAAAAACCCTAAGGCATACTATTTTAGCTATAAACTGAGTAGACTAATTCAATAATTCTTTGTTGAGCACTTACCTGGTAGCTAATATACTGGTAGTATTTATTCACTTTCAAAAAGTACCCCTAGCAGACACTTTATGGGAAAGCATATGTACTCTGCATTCCAACAAAATTCAAAGGAGGATGACAACTGCTTTCCTCAAAATGCATAATGAATTTCTCATTCATTAATTTCTCCTCATGTTCAAATTTACAAAATATATGTTTATTCCATTCTTATGGCAAACTATGCACAATTCTAGGTGAAGGAAATACAGCTATGAACAAAGCAGAAAAAAATTCCTGCCCTCTTGATACATACACTCTAATGAGGAAAGCCTTTTATATTTTTTAAACAAAATTTACCTTTTTCAAATTAAGATCACCTTAAATCATCTTTTTATTAAGTGCATTGGTTTTAAATCAATTTTACTATTTCATTATATTTGGGGTCAGAGGACTATTTGGAGATGAGCTCAGTTAGAACATACTACATTTTAGTTGCTTGTGGAATATCCAAATAGAGGTGTCTAATAAGTAATAATTTCAGTTTCTCAGTTTGTTTCTTTCTTTTTTCAGTAGGGGAAATTCCAAGACAGCTGGCTTTGGACAAATGCACTGAATTTTAGTTGTCTTCTGAATAACCAAGAAAAGATATCCAGTAGGTAGCTAGAGAAAGGCTCTAGGGCTAGGAAAGGAGAGCTCAGGTACATGGAGATATGGGAGTCATTAATATACACTTGGTAGTTAAAGACATTAGGACTAGAAAAGACCATTTGGGGAGAAAGAAGAGTTGGCAGGAATATTCAGAGGATCCTCAACATTAAAGGGTATATCCAACAAAGAGAAATCTAGAGGAACCCACTGATAAAAAGTGATCATTGAAAGATGAGGAAAAAAGGACTATGACTACAAGGAAGAACTCAGCACTTCAAGAAGGAAAGAGAAACAATGAATGGCAAATGCTGAAGAAAGATAAAGAGCAGATAAAAATTTCACTTTATGCCATTTAAAATTAATCATTGTGAGTTTATATTAACCAATGCCTTTAAACTAGGTCTCTGTAATGATGATTAAAATCTTTTAAGATCACTGCTATCACACACAGCCCCAAACCAAGATTAAAGGGATCTTCAATAAAAAGGAGATTCAAGATTATTACTATTCCACTCAGAGGCTTCAGCCCCGATTAAGGCTTTGGAAAGGCTAAAGATTCTTCCTTTTAACTGTGATTAAATTTGAAATCCAACACCACACTTACCTCTTAATTTTTCTCCAACACTGCCATTCCAAGGACTTTCTTTGAGCAAATTTGCAGAACGTGAATAAATATCTGTGGCATGAGGCAACAAGAGCTGAAGATGTTTATGAAGCAAGGCCACACTGCTTGAGTTCTGAGGAGAAAAAAAATTCCTAACTTAATTACTTTAAAAGATTCAAGATACAAAATAACAGGGCATACCCAAATATCTGAGTTTCAGGACTCTGATAGAAGGCTGGGAGGCGTGGCTCATGCCTATAATCCTAGCACTCTGGGAGGCCGAGGTGGGTGAATAGCCTGAGCTCAGTCAGGAGGTCAAGACCAGCTTGAGCCAGAGTGAGACCCCTGTCTCTAAAAACAGGCGGGCGTTGTGGTGGGCACCTGTAGTCCCAGCTACTAGGGAGACCAGGGCAAGATCACTTGAGCCCAAGAGTTTGAGGTTGCTGTGAGCTATGATGCCAAGGAACTCAACCCCAGGGTGACTTAGTGAGAATCTATTTCCAGAAAAAAAAAAAAAGGAAAAAAAAACAGGACCCTAATAGATCACCATATAAAGCAAAGGATGACATACCTCACTAATGTTATTGATATGGCAAAATGCCAGCAGCTGTTTCTGTAATGAACACAGAAGTTCATGAAGATGAGCAGGCTGACTGTTCTCTGATGATGATGTTCCAAGTAGAAATTTATCACTGTTCTTTTCTAGCTCTCCAAATGCTTGATCCTAAATGACATATAAATGAAGATTACATTTGAAGGGTTTGAAAACGAAAGTAATGTCCTGCCATAAATGATTCTGTTTGATGGATCATATTGTCTCTTTTCTGCCATTACCAATTTTTAAATCTTTGCTATAATCCTTGTGATATTAACTATACTATCGATAGTAAAATTCATCAAGCAACTTCAATTTATCTCTCCATTAAAAAAAAGTACAGAAACTTCTAAAATAACAGAAAATAAGAAAAAGGAAAACAATACAACTACCCCAAGGCACCATATGTCAACATTCTGATGCTACTGCTTTCCAGATCTTCTATTAAAGGCTTTGTTTTCATGTGCTTATCAGTTTCTAAGAAATTGAAACTTTTTATTACAAAAGAAATAAGCCAGGCTTGTTGGCGCACACCTATAGTCAAGCTACTCAAGAAGCTGAGGCAGGAGGATTGTTTGAGCTCAGGAGTTCAAGGCTGCAATGTGCTATGAGTGTACCTGTGAATTACTACTATACTCTGATCTGGACAACATAGCAAGACCTTGTCTCTTTTTAAAAGGGATGAAGGGGCAGAGAGAGAGAAAAGAAAAAAAAATAGGAGGGAGGGAATCAGGGATGGAGGGGGAGAGAAAGGGAGGAAGAAAGGAAGACAGGCAAGCAGGCAGGGACTAAAGAAACATCACAACCAAATGCAATGTGTGATTCTGGACCTGATCCTGAACTAGGGGTGGGAGGCAGGAGGAACTGCTATAAAGGACATTATTTAGACAACTGCAGAAATTTAAATACAGACTGTGTATTAGATAATAGCTTTGTACCAATGTTACATTCCCTGAATCCAATAATTATTCTGTTGTTATATAAGAAAACATCCTTGTTCTCAAAAAATGCATACTTAAAATATGCTTAAGTACTTAGAGGTGGCAAGCATAACATCCACTACTTTCAAATGATTTAGGAAAGAGGGAGAGAAAGAGAGAGGGACAGGGAGAGAGAGAACAAATTTGGTTGAAAAGCACAGGGGACTTCTTTGAATGATTCTTATAGCTCCTTTATAAGTTTTAAATAATTTCAAGTTTAAAATATTTTTAAAAAGAGGCTCAGCACCCATAACACAGTGGTTACTGCGCCAGGCACATATACCAAGGCTGGCAGGTTCAAACCCAGCCCAGGCGAGCTGGACAACAATGATAACCAAAAAACAGCTGGGTGTTGTGGCGGGCACCTGTATCCCAGCTACTTGGGAAGCTGAGGTAAGAGAATTGTGTAAGCCCAAGAGTTTGAGGTTGCTGTGAGTTCTGATGCTACAGTACTCTACCCAGGGTGACAGAGTGAGACTGTCTCAAAAAAAAAAAAAATCTTAAAAAGAAAGGCTCTGTGTAAAAAACTCAGAAAACATTAGAACTATATTTTAAAAAGTTAAAGTCACCATTTCGCCAATCACTCAAAGAAAATGACTATAAACATTTATTGTTTTTGTATATTTCTTTCTTGTTTTGTCTTTTTTTCATATTTTTCATAATACTGTATTACATATTCTATTTTTAGTCTGCTCCTTTCCAACAAAATCATAAATATTTTCTACATTTTCACAAACCATATACATATAAAATTTAAGTTATATAGTATTCTGCTGAGTGCATATACCATAATTTAGTTAACTACTCCTCTATTTTTAGCTACTTCAGTTATTTCCAATTTGATGGGATGATATGGTAAGTATCTTTACACAGAAAATTTGATGTGTGTTTATAAAATGTAAGAGTCTGGGAACATTTTAAGATCCTTGCTATAGCACCATTATTTTAAAATTCTAGAACATGAATATTTGGTTTAAATCACATCAGAAGGAAATATTTTATGATTTTAACTCCAAAGCAGTATTTTATTTCCATTTCCATGTAATGTACACATCTGCTTCAGCCCTAATAACATAAGAAAACCACCACTTTAATGCAGCAGAAATGTTCCTTACAGCTCTGGAAAAAATTTTTAGTCATTAACAAATGGATATACCATAACATTGTTGCCTTCCATTTGTGGTCATCACCTCCTAGTACCAAATTAATTTTACATTCTTAAACCCTAAAGAAAATAATTCTGTAGGAACAATTTTCACTTTTTTCACTCTTAGTCAACAGTCTTTTTTTTCTTTTTAAACTCTTCTGCCTTTTTTTTTTTTTTTTTTAAATGAGACAATGTCTCAAGCTGTTGCCCTAAGTAGAGTGCCATGGCATCATAGCTCACAGCAATCTCCAACTCTTGGGCTTAAGCAATCCTCTTGCCTCAGTTTTTCTTTTTTTTTTTCTTTCT